TTAGCGGTAGAAATCTTACTAATTAACCCATATATGGGATATAAAATGTGGGTTCATATCTTTTCCCAATGGTATTTGCGCGTTAATGAAATTCGAACTCGGCTCTCCGATTAACAATTCCAAGCTTACATTACACCATCCCCACATCCAATCTTCCAGTGCCTGGTATTCCCAAGCAGTCACCCTTAGATTATGTCAGTGATATTGTAAAAAAAAATATTAATTATAATGCCAACATACTGACTCACCACCTAGTTTTTTTTTCTTTTCAATGACACCTCCTTTTTCGTCATTTCCCCCTTTGGGAATCTGTTATGGTAAACCCTCCCACATTAGAATGAACTCTTCCTCCTCTCATAAATACAAACTGCGAGAGTCGGATAGTGTGAAGAGTGTGAAGTGAAGTGGAGTAGTAGACGCAGTACTAATCTACTTATTAGTAACACTATGGTTTTGTATATATCTTCAATATACTTTTTTCAACCGACCTTCATCTTCCGTGTCTTTTCTTTCTGGCCCCTAAACAGGCCACAACACTATCTATCTATCTATCTATCTATCTATCTATCTATCTATCTATCTATCTCAGCCTGTTCATTATCTATCTATCTATCTATCTGTTGTGGTAAACCCTCTTACAGTATAATGAACTTTTCCTCTCATAAATACAAATTGCGAGAGTCGGATAGGGTGTAGAGTGTGAAGTGAAGTGGAGTAGTAGACGCAGTACTAATCTACTTATTACTACCACTATTGTTTTGTATATATCTTCAATATACTTTTTCAACCTACCTTCGTCTTCCGTGTCTTTTTTTTCTGGCCCCTAAACAGGCCACGACAGAATCCCAGTTCTAGCACAAGGCCAAACATGTGGAGCAGCGAGGATAGATCAGAACTAACTCACTTATGTCATAATTGCCTGCAAAAATAACTCTACGGAGAGGCGTCCATTGATGTTTACTAAGCTTGGTCTTACCTTAGGTGCAGGTCACAATTTGGGATTATCCATGAGGACTGAATTCAAGACATTAGCCAAGTGTTGATAGATAGATAGATAGATAGATAGATAGATAGATAGATAATGAACAGACTCAGAGAAAATTCTGTAACTACTGCCCAAGAATGATTCCATCAATGTTCCGTATCATCAATTATCAATAAAAAGAATAACTTACACGCAGGGAATACGATGGACGCTTGTGATTAATTTCCATGCAAGCGACAACAGATACAGGAGCACATTCATGCACAAGTGTAGTGGCAATTTGTTACCGAAATTGAATTTTAAATACTAAAATGTATAACCGTTTTAAATATACAAATTTAATTAAGTTTAATATTGGAAAAAATTTACAAAAAACAAAATAAATAAAGCGGAGACCATGATTATAAATAATCTATATATGAAGCTCACACAATGAGTCAGGACACATGGTCTGAAGATTACATGGGGTCTGAAACTGACAGTCAATATAGAGTGTTGCTTTCTATGTCTCCATTGTCTATATCTACAAATGATTTATCCCCTCTTCCCCATAAATATAACACACACACACACACACACACACACACATATATATATATATATATATATATATATATATATATATATATATATAAGGACATTACACCAGAACATGACAAAATTGCTACACAATTGCAGTCGTGATACGATGCGTATAAATGCATCTCATCAGGCGATTGTAAATTACTGGCGAGTGAACTCTTTATTTAGATTTAAAAGCATTAATCTGGATCATAACACACGTTCCAAGGGAAATATTATTTATGATACTGGCCAATGTAATTGTAAGAATTCTGACTATTGCCAAACAAATGTTTAACTAAATCTCTTGTTTATCTTTGTACAATCACTACAATAGAGAATTTGACGGTTAAAAAATTCTGTATTGGTAGTACTAAGAATTTTTCAGAACTAGGTGGTATCAATGTACATTGTCCTTCACCAATACTACTTACAGAAATAATACCTCACTTTCTAAATATTTTTGGAGTTTAAAAGACGATAATAAGACTGCTTAGGTGAAATGAAAAATTTTAAAGACGGAAAGGACATGTAGATCTTTATATGAACCCTGTTTTTGTGCTTATATAAAAAAACTGGAAATTATCAGATTAAAAAAACCTTCTTATTAAATCAAAGGAATGGATCAACCGTAAATTGTAAACATAGTTTACCTTATCCTTACAATTTAGTTAAACTTTGAAATTTGATTATGCTTTTTCTTATATTTTAGTTGTAACATATATAGATAATCTTTCTATTTGTAAGATTAATTTGTATTTCATATAATTTAAACTAGTTTTGTCTACTTATCTTCAATTGGATCGTTACATATTCACAGACAAGCTTTTTGGTGTCATGATTAAAGGAAGATTGAAAATTACTACGTTGATACAGATTATTTATTCCGGGTACTTTCGACATTTAATTCCTGCTTCCAAAAAGCGACATTGCTTTTCAAACAATTCAATATTTTTATGCGAAAAACAGTTTCCCATCTTAACAAATGCACACGTAGTCCCGATCGGGGAACACAAATGCGCATATATATGCAGCTAAGTGTTGTTATAAATCTGTACATGCAAGGCTCCGTCGAGATCACATTTTGGCATTTTAATGCGTTTAAGTGACGCTCCATTTGTCGGTGTTTCCAAACACGGCACTCTGTGACGGCATCGATTTCTTAGCGTTACTCCATCGAGACTTTACATTTACGAGACCGACATAACGTCACGCGAAACCGTTCTCGCCTGATTCTCGGTCGGAACTAAAAGAAGCGATCAACCCCCAAATAGTTCTCCTTAACACCTCCGCTCTCTTCTCCCTGTTCCCCAACTCTCCATTTCTTACATTCTTCTGTATCTATCTATCTATCTATCTATCTATCTATCTATCTATCTACGTTTATAGCAGTCTATCCGCTTCCTTCGATAGACCCAAGCCTTAGAAATGCAGCAATCACGAAAATCACGCAGCAATCACGAAACAGCTTTAGATAATGCAAGAAATAGACTGACAATGACGCTTAAATATTAACAATATAGCAGACTGACCTGTCCTGGGTACGACGATAAACTACGTCCGACATCAAGGCCTCTGATCAGGAGAAAAAAAAATCCCTACTTGTTAGTAGAAGTGAACTACAGGAGTTAATGACTGTTAAAGAAGAAAGTGAACTTTATCTGTAGTTTTCATTTGTTTATTTATCGTCCCATTCTCAAGCAATTTTTGGAATTTCAATAGTTAAACATGGAGGAGGCTCTGTGATCTGGGGGCGAGGCTATATCTTGAAAACCTGCTAGCCCAATGGTTTCCCTTCATGGCAGGATCAAAAGTCAGGACTATTTAAAAATTTTATCAGATCAAATTCATCCTATGGTCCCGGAACTGTTTCCGGAGGGAAACGCAATATTTCAGGGTGATAATGCACCAAATCACACAGCTAAAATTGTGCCTTGAGTGGCACGAAGAACATTCTAGTGAAGTAGGCCATCTTATCTGGTCACCACAGTCCCCAGATCTAAATATTATTGAAAATTTATGGTGCATTTTAGAAAAATAAGTCAATATCCTCCGCCATCATCACTGAAAGAATTTGGGACTCTTTTGGCAGAAGAATGAACAAAAATTCCTCAGGAAACCATTCTTTGTATGATTCTATGCCTTGTAGAATTCAAACTGTAATTCCTGCCAATGGTGGTCACACGCCATATTGAAATAAATTTGTTTGAAATTTCCAGGTGTTTCCATTATATTGCCCAACCCCGAGAGCGGATACTACACTTTGATCCCAGAAAACGGCCATTTATAGCTGACAGTTAAGACATTTCTGAACGAGTCGGCTCCTTGGATGACAACCATATGTGAGTCAAGATCTGACCAGGCTATTTAAGAACCTGACTCGAGTTTTCAAGTCAATACTTTGTCTTTTTCTGTTATTTTATGTTGCTGGAAGATACTGTGTTCAATTTCCTATACTAATTTTGTTATAGCATCCATTGTGCGACCACCTTTAGTGTTTCTGTTAGGAAAAACGAATGGCTAATACCATTTTATGACTGCTGTAGTGTGTTATAGTGTTTGACATCTGATTTGTTTGTCGATTCGCGCCAAAAATTTGATTGCTGGAATGTCAGAAAAGATTATGAGTTTATCCGGCACCTGCCCGGTATCGGAAAGACTGCAATTACTCTTGGCCCTCAACTTTCCATGCTTTATAGCCCCACCCGTTCCCCTATCGCTAAATCTGGCCATTTTTTTTTTTTTTTTTTTTGCCTTGTCAACTACGAACCGTCATCAAACTACGACCTCTCCTTTTCCCCTCCGTCCACTTTTGCGTCTCTTTTTCCCGGGCTCGGTGAAATGCACCAACCAAGTGCCATTTACACACCGCAGCCGGCCATGTTGTTCCTCTGGGACGAAACCGATGAGCATTTACCGTGTTTTAATTAGTCACTGGTGCTAAACATGACCAGCCCGACATGTTTGTAAACGTTTTCATTTCAGCCAAATACGTACGTAAGCACACATTTACAAATACTACTACTACTTCTCCCTTGCAGACGTACAGACAATAGCAAACCTCTTTGCCCACAGGAAAATGCATGAACGTACAAATGCACATTACAAACGAACACAAAATATACTCACGCATACACGTAGAAATAAAAGTGCACATGGAGGCAAACATGCTGAAAGAATCTTATTAAAGAAACACACATACACACATCACAGACGAATGGCCATTAATATGAATGCTTATTTGCGCATGCGTAAAAAATGAAATATGCAGACGATACAAAGCTACGAAGGCGGGAAAAATATAAACATGCAGTTTGGCACAACAAACAAATATTTAAATTTTGGATTTTTCACATCAAATAACAATGTAAATAAATACAAAATAACTTTATAAGAAATAATCTAAAATTAATAATAAAACAAAATGCATGGCTAAATAAAAAAAATAATACAAATGAACTAAAAATACTCTTGAAAATATCACGGTTTTCCTGTTTTAATTTTCTGACGAATCTTAATTATTAAGATAATGATTGAATAAGATCATGTCGACTTCTACAACAATAAAATATTCATAGAAATTCCCCTATCGCATCGTTAAATATTTGAGATTAAAAACTTTAACAAAATATTGCAATGACAATCATAAATATGAATGCTGGTCGTTATTTTAAGAAGTAAAGGGGTACAAATGAAAATATCTGAAATTGGCAATTCTTTCCATTTCAGTGAAACAGCCGTTAAACACTTCTTTCTTCCATTTTCTCATTGAAACCAAATAGTGTCTTTTCCCTTCATTCCACACAATCAAAATGGAATAGTTCATTATTTCTGAGCTATTGGCAGGGCGTAACGGTCGTGCAAACTAACGAACTAACAAGCACATTTATAATAAGATAATTCTGCAAAAGAAAAAATTAACATCATGCAAATTGTAATAAAGGTACAATTATTACTAACCCTGTCCTATAATAGGTTTTACATTTGCATACACATTTCACACAATTCTTCTTGTATGTATCTCGCCTCTTCAAGACATCATGGCTCCCCCAAAATTCTTATTCCTTGTGGCCCTTAGCATTTTTCTCCTTCTTCTAAGGCTACCACCCACGACCCGTGTCGCCATCCCTTCACACAAACTCATCAGGTCGGTTGCTCGTCCGTCCTGGGTATGACGTAAAGCTACATCTGACAACAAGACCTCTGATCAGGTTTTGAGGAGCGTCGAACCACCTTTTAATGGCTGGTGTTTCAAGGTCCACCCTGACCGGGGGTGGTAGCACCTGTTAGGGTCCCAGCTATGGCAAATAGTTAAATCCCTCAAACCGGGATCAAAACGTGTAAAAATAGGTGTTAATACCAGCAAAACATTTTTCTAAAAAAATTATTACCAGCAATACATTTTGGAAAAAAAAATATTACCAGCTATATATTTTTTTTGAAAAAAATATTACCAGATATACATATTTGAAGGAAAATTATTACCAGAAATAGATTTTTGAAGAAAAAAAATATTACCAGAAATAGATTTTTGAAAAAAAATATTACTAAGCATAAAATTTTTTGTCGGCATTAAATAACCCATTAAGGTTGATATGACTTAAAAAAAAAAAAACGGTTGCTCCCTTCCTTCCTCTATCTCTTTTGCCCTGTGTGGGTTAAGTTATCAAAGTGCTCATTCCTCATTATGTGTCCAAGGTATTTCAGCCGTCTCTTTCTGATTCTAAATAGAAGTATTCTTTTTGCTGCCATTTTCTTCAAGTCTTTTTCGTCGCCTATCGTTCTGTCCATTGAATTCTCAGTATTCTTTCAAATTTACCAAAACAGAAAAAAACGATAACTAAGGTTTAAAATGAATTTTTAAAAATGAAAACTCTTTCTTGAAGTTTTTATATTAGTTTTAATTTCAAACTAATAGATTAAATTAAATATTAACAATAAGCAAAATACATTGCTGTGTTTGAAAAACTAATTTAAAATTAATTTAAATAATTGGAAAGAGTTTTTTTTTATTTTTGTTTTTTTGCTAAAATAGCCGATTAGCGCCTTTTTTTAGTCACCTTTCATCGCAATGCAATTCTCTTTATTAAAAAATCTTCCAGAAGTAAAATATACTTTTCTGAAAATTTATTTGAGGAATATTAGCTGATTTAAAATATAATTAATCTGATTTAAGACAAATATTATTTATTTTACGTTTAAAATATTTCAGAAATTTAGCTGTCTTGACAAAAAAAAAATCCCTATACTAATTTTAGCGAAAAATTAATTATTTAACGAAAAAATTTTAACCAAAATTTGGACAGTGCATGAAAGGATTAAAAAATTAATAAAATAATAAAAAAAATAATTTGGACTTTCCTCTTAATAATAACATAAACATTTTGACGATAAAACTTTGTTTTCTATTAAATTTGGAGCCTTTTTTTCATCGTGCTATACTGTTTTTTTAGAATATTTTTGGAGGTACCTATAATACCGTGTATTAAAAAGCAATAGTTAAATTTCGGTGTTTTTCCGCGTTAATTGTTAGAGATACGCAGGTTCGATCCCTGCTGGGAAACGCATTTTCTTTAATAAGATTTCTCGGATGAGCAGGCCGATAGATGTAATACATCCTATTTAATAAATAAAAATTAGGCGTCTATTTCAGATACGAAGTATCCACTATAATAACGTTTGAAGTTATAAAAATGTCGGATTAAAAACAAATAAATTAACTCTTTTTTTTTTTTTTTTTATTTTTATATATATATATATATATATATATATATATATATATATATATATATATATATATATATATATATACAAAAAAACGTTTACTTATTAAAGAGTTAAGTAGGAGGGGAGAACACTTTAATAAGCAAACGTTATGTTTTTCTGTTTTCAAAAAGTAAATCATTTTCATTAAATGTTACCGAACATTGCCTGATGACAGGATAAAAAACTTA